CATTGCTAGTCAAGCAATTGCTTTGCTGTTTGTCGAGCACTTGCCCAGCTAAGACGTACACATACACACATACTATCTGTGTGCGTGTATGTGTCACACATTATATTTGTGTAAATTGCTGTTGAACGTGCTATTTGTTTATCACTTATTTAAGTTGTGTTCTTTAATGCCTACAAGTTGTTGGGTTTCTCTTATTTCGTTATATGTATGTGTATATGCGTTTGTGTGTCTTTAAATGCTCCTTTGGGTGTGTTTATGTGGAATTAAAATTTTAATTTGTAGTGCGTGCAATTGGTGGAGCGCAATGTGATATTGCGACAATAGTAATAGAATTGTGATAAATATAAAGCAATAAATGAGTGATTTATTTTCCCGTTTTTCGTATTTTTACATTTTTTTTTTATTTCCAAGAAATTTTGCACAGGGGTATAGTTGATTCTAGTCTTCAAGCTGAGATTTAAAAATATTATGGAAATATTTTTATTTTCACTTTCGCACATCTACCCAAGGAGTTTATTGCCGTGGATATACAATTTAGTCAAGACTTGAGCTTTAACTTTGTTGGAAATGTGTAATGACTTTCTAAAAGGAAAACAAGAAAAATGTTAACTTTAGTTGCACCGAAGCTATAATACTCTTGATAAATTCAAAATAATAAATATACCAACTGAATTTTGATCGATCAGATTGTATGACATCTATATGCTATAGTGATTCGATTTCTTCGGAGGTTGTATCATTAACTCGGGTAATAAGCCATGCGGAATTTCGTGAAGATATCTCGTCAATTAAAAAGTTTTCTATACAAGGACTGAATTTTAATCGATCAAATTGTATTTGCCATAGTGGTCCGACATCGGCGATTCCGACAAATGAGCAGCTTCTTGGAGAGAAAGGGACGTGTGTGTTATTTCAGATCGATATCTCAGAAACTGAGGGACTAGCTCACGTATATACAGACAGGAAGGACAGCTCGTCAATTATTTACGTATATATTATATAATCAATCAATAATATATAATTAGTACAATTAGGCACCTGTGAAGACATAATGACTCAACTGATAGCGTACTACAACTGTCTCTAAAAAGTTTTTTGTTTTTGTTGATTTATTCACCCTACTTTAATGAGTTTCAGGAGGTGCTGGTTGGGCGTAAACCGAATTGAAATTGTTCCTCTCGGATTCTCTGTTTTAAACAGACTTTGAAATAATCTCGACAAATTTGAGTATTTGAAAATGTAATTGCAACGTCAAAAGTACTTCAGCTTTCACTTTCTCATTACTTTATATGCCCACAAATATAATTTATAAGTAAGGACTTCAATGGTTGCAGTATCAATGTCTTCTTAGAAGCGCCCACTGTAAAACACACGATCTTGACCTGAAAGACAGTGTTGTAGCCATTGAATTTCCAACTATCTTTTATTTACCAATAGTTACATAAGCAGCCTGCTCTATTTCTGCCTTACATTTTGACTCAATACAAGTATATCACTGCCGTTCCCTTACTAAGCAGTCTTATTTTCTAATTAAAATTGTATTTACTCTTATTGAGTTTCCTTCATTGTTATTCCGTTCTTCAAATCTTCAAATTTATTACTTTTATTCAGCAGGAATTTATGAGCATTAAATTTTCTTAGCATATATTTAGGAAGTAAACGAATATAATTGTTGATATAAGCATTGAAATGGTTTTGAGATCAAATATCACTAGATACGGCAACATAAGCGGGAGCACCTTTTACCTTCATTTTGAAAGCTCTCCTCAGTATGAGATATATTTGGGTGTGTCTCAAATATTATTTTATATTTTTTTATTGTAATGGGATTATATTGCTTATCTGACTTATCAAGAGCATGGTTTACATATTAGGTAGATGTCTATATTCCCATCATTCTGGTAATTTGTGGATGCCGCCCTAAAACTACTGCCCCGGCTTGGTGGCTAAGAATGAGCAAGTTTTTTATATCGTATACTGATGTAAACGGTATTCCAGTGAATCCATTATGCATGGCAATTTTTCTTGCAACTGTTTTCTAAATAGTTAGCCTTCATTATAAAAAATTATTGCCGCGTTTCTAGTCATAAGCTCCGGTCGTTTTTCGGCAATCACACGCTTTAATTTGATGTGTTATTGTCGCTAGCGTTCCCTATTAAAAGTTTTAACTTGTTTTTGAAAATTAGGTTTTCTATTTAAGATAGTTTTAGAAGAAAACTCTTCCTCACTACCAGAGTATCTAAAATTTGCCACGAAGTCTGTAACATCCGGCAGCCAACGTCTGAAACTTTACAATATATACAAGTACATTTTGGGATGTTCGTCTATCTGTCTGTATATGCGCGAACTATTCCCAGTTTTTGAGCTATCGATCTGAAATTTTGCACACGACTTTTTGTTTCCAAGAAGCTGCTCAATTATTGGAACCGCCGATATCGGATCACTATAGCATATAGCTGCCATACAAAATCAATGATCGGAATTAAGTGCTTGTAAGGAAAGCTTTGTATTTGTGAAGGGTATTATAGGTTCGGTGCAGCCGAAATTAACATTTTTTGTTGTTTCTATATTCCTTATTTCCAACGTCGAGTTTTCAATAAAATTACTTAATATTTTTTTATGGCAGTTTGATTACATAATCGTAAGAGACTCGGTCATAAACTCTCAACTCGGCAGCATAAATTCTTTTTTGTTTGGCGAATTTTTACTGCTCCAACAAAAACACCCAACTGGTAATAAAAGTCATGAAAACTTTGCTCTCTACGTTGCTAAATTTAATATGTCGTATGCCTTCATTATCACCAACGAGAATTATTCTCTGCATAACACACCTATACTTACATAAATTTAAGCTTTAGCCAAGGTCGCATTTACAACGTTTGATTTAATGATCTTCATTAAATTAATTACGGTCAACTACGACACCCTTTGAGTTGCCAGACAGCTGCTAAAGAATAGCTTGACCGGTGGATTCTTGTAGAGCTGATGAATTTTTCGCTGTCTTTATGGAAAACGTGAACACTTACGGGGCAGCATAAAAAGGGGTCAGCATAATTGCACATGCCATTATCGTCATACATTTTGTGGTTATGCACTTAAGTGTAACATAAAAATGTTGCTTGAAAATAAATTTAAATACTTTGGTTGGAATTTGGTGAAACAAGACCAAACAAAGAAAAGGTTACAATATTGTTGGCTTTAATTGTTTTTTAACCACAGCAGTTGCCATTTACACAAATGTAATGTGTTGTTATGGCTGTGTATAGTATATGGATGTATATTAGGGAGAGTCAAAAATACCCGAATATTTATACCCTGAACAGGGTATGTTAAGTTTGCCACGCTGTTTGTAACACTCAGAAGGACTTCTGAGACTATATCCGTCTGTCCGTCTGTATATATGCGATCTTGTTCTTGAGCTTTTGAGATATCGATCTGAAAGATATAGAGCATTCAATTTCCTACAAAGTCAACAAAACGAAATATTATTCAAGTAGATGGCAGCGAGATTTCCAATTTTCTATCCGTTAATAAAAAAAATAAAATAATTGTAAAGCGGAGGATCTTCCTGTTACAATTAAGAGCTCATAATTGAAGAGATTTTCGAAAGAAATTTTATTCGAATAGAGAGACGATACATTTAGCAAAACTCTCTGCTCTCTTGAAATAATACGGAGGGTTAGCAGAGTCCTTCAGCATCTTTTATAGATAGGTATACTGAAGAGATGGTGAGAGATGTTTTGAGTATTAGGTATGTCGAAGTCTGAACTTTTTCAAAAAGTCCCGCTAGATGTCGCAAAAGAGTTGCTTGTCGAAGCAAGTAAATCAGAAATAATCATTCAGCTCATTTATTTGCCAGGTTTTGTTTGCTGTGGCTATGTCTGTTCTTGAAATAATATATCTGTTATGTGAAACTCGACTCATAATTGGCTTGCTATTGTGATCAAAATTCATCACACTGTGAGCATGACATTATACTCAATACAGAATAAAAAAAAGATTTTAATCGAGAAAATGTGAACCTTGACTAATACAATCAACCTATTTTTTCCGTTGAAAAAGAATTGAATGCAGAAAACATGTCAGAAATGTTGCTTGAATGCTATAAGTAATATTTTTTGTATCGTATTATGACAGGCAACGCAAGGTGAATCCATTACGACAACCCTAAACGCAGAAAATCATATGTGAGACCAACCAAACAGCCGAATCAGTGAAATGCCCTCCATATTTTGTGGATTTAGAAGAGGAAGAGTTTTCTGCTTAAAACTATCTTAAATAGAAAAACCAATTTTCTCAATAAATTAATACGAAAAAAAATCGTTGTTTGTCAATACCTTATTTGAAAACTTCAAGTCGATCGGTCCAGCTTTGGAGAAATTTTTCTCACTGACTCTAAACACAGCGTTTAGTGAGAAACCCTTTAGGGAGCCAAGTTAAAAAATTCTTGCAAATACGCTCATATTTCCAAAACTATTTGCCGCATCAACTTAAATTTATCGGAAAATATTTTCAGATATATGTACACTCGATATATATGCAATATAAAGTATCGATTTTTTGAAATTCACAAGTGAATATAACCCTTTAATAGCATATGATCTTGTTCTTTACTGGATCTTGGCTACCAATTTTGGTGATGTCACCGCCAGTAAAGCTTTGTTTTACATTATAATATATGCTTTTTGGCGGCGGATTTCATAGAAGTAACTTATATACGTCAATAGTTGGATTACTTCTTATTTAGTTTTATAAATACATTAAACATATTTTTGATATGAGCTAATCGTTTATTAAAACGATGCCTACGCTTGAAACTTTGCTGCTTTTTTTTTTTTTTTTTTTTTTTGCTTACTTATACGTATATACATATAATGAAGTATACCTTTAGGCATTGCTATTACAAGTAGTTCCTTGAATAAATGCAAAACAATATTTCATACTTTTAAAGTCATTTGATTAAATTTTAATCATATATCTATATTTCTTTATCATTACAGGTAATCGAAACGCATTTCTAAAAGTTTGAACGCGTACTGAAGCCAACGGAAAAATAAATTAGTCAACCGACTGTAAAATAATTATTAAAAAAAACTCAGCTATAGACATTTTAAAAAATTAGTTTAAGTTAATGTTTTTAAATAAGATGTTAAGTACAAAAGATAAAATTATAAATTATGTATAAAATTTAGTATTTAATCAACCAACGAAAAAGTAATACGGTAAGCAAAAAAATTGGTGTTAAAATTAATAATATTATATATAAACTAAAGCTGAGAGAAATGTATATAGTGATAAAAGTGATTTGCTTGCATAAATTTATTCAACTGTTCTCTCTTTTGTGTTACGACACTACCAACTATCTACTTCAACTTTAAACTATTTTTAATTTTAAATGCGAAAGTATTTACGAACTGTAAGATTTCGTAGCATACAATTAAAGCGTAGAAACAGCTAATTTTTGATAGTGAGTTGAAATATTGTACTTTGAATGTGCTATTTTGAATTTAGTTTTTATTTAGTATTTTTATTTTTGTTATAGAAACTCGTCAGCGCCTATTTTCTAAAAAACACATAATAACAATTTCGAAAAATTAAAGCCTATTTGAAAATAAGTTATAATTTCAAAAAATTATGATGGTTGCTTTAATATGAACAATCTTAACCGCATAAAAGTACACTTAATTTATTTTGCATTACTTAAATTTAACTTAAGTCCATCGCCTTCGAATCCGAAGTGTAAATTTTTTACATTAAACACCTTTTTTTTGGGAAAGCCACCATTATGTCAAAAATTTAAATTTTGACCAGTTCCTTGATCTTTACCTGTACGAATATGTTGCAATAGTATTTGTTTTTTATTTTGAGCTAATTTTAAGCAGAAAAAATTTCACCTCCATAAAGCGTCTAAAATCATACAATATTATTTTCTTAAATAGACAGATAATTAAATTTTACTTTGTTGTATTCCGAATTGGAATATCAACGGAGAAAATGTGAAATCTTTTATACATCAAGCATAGATATTAACTATTACAGCAACGCCCAAAAATTATAATTATATTAAAAAATCCATATTAACTCATGCTAGAAAGACCGCCTCTCCCTATACATAAGTTTACTCCCATAGTACGTACTCTTAAAAATATGCAACAATTGCGTGACACACGTACGATGTGAAGTACTACATAAACGTATGAAGCAATTATGCCTAGGCGGCACAATATAATAAATACGTAGGTACAGTTTCGAGCAGTTGCAACAATTAAAAGCAAAAAATATGTGTTTAGAAAAAAATGAAATTATAAAAGCTGTGCGCAAACATAATCTCGTCAAGTGTGCCACACTTTGGCTTCAAGTGCCAGCACAATTGTATAGCATACTTAAGGGGTGTATTGTAACGCTGTTTAGAAAGGATAAAAGGTGTTTTTTTGGGAATATCAAATTGTGTTACAAAGTTAAGGCAAAGTGTAAAATAAATCAGTTAAATGTGGTTTGTATTAAAATGAATTTTTAATTGTCATAAAGTCTACATTGAGGCGCAATAATATTTGCGGCAATTCGTAGTGCTAATTGTAACCAAGTAAGATTTGTAAGTTAGTATAAAATCTTTGTTAATATAAAAATGGCTTTAGTGACATAGTTCGTACACAAACAATAATAAATAATTATATAATAATATCTAGTTTGTTAGTTAGAACTTTACACAATATACAGACCGCATTTAATGCACGTGCCGCCTAAAAGTTGCAAAGTAGCGTACAACATGAGCCCCAACTTTGGTGGTTTAAAATAAATGCATAAAAAAAAAACACGATAAAAATGCCCACAACTTCAAAGTTCTAGCTATTATTTATGACGCAACACAAACGGAAAACTGTAACCCCACAAAAACGCAAACAAAAAATATCCCCCACGCGCCATAAACCTCCCCCCAACGCAAATGCATTCAATATTAAGCTGCCAAAAAGATACACGTACATATATTTGCATACTTTTAGGCAACACCAAACTAACAAAATGAGAAGTACATATCTCTGTGTGCACTTGTACATAACAACCGTTAATTAATTGTAAGTGGAAAAATATCTCAATGAAAACTATATGTATAAGGTAACTACTGAGTTAAGTGAATACTCACAAAATAAAATGCAAAAATATTTTAAATAGCTTTTAGGCGTACAACAGTTTCGGCTGAAAAATATTTTTTAAGGGTTTCATATATCGATACATTAGTAGTGGAAAAAATGGCTGTTTTGGAAATAGTTAAAATTCATGGTGAAAAATGCAAACAAAATTTGTTATTAAAATGTAATAAATGTAGCGCTGCATTGCAGCATTCTAGGCGCTAAAATATTTTATAATAAAATCTCGTTATATGCATTTGGTGTGGTCATAGCCAACTATTTGAATAATCCGGTAAACATGTTATGCGGTTTCAAATGTATTTTGAACCAATTATTTAAAATAAATCTTAAATTTATGGAACTTATGATTAAAATGGAAAAATTCTTAGCTTAGCAATGTAGAATGTAATCTATGCAGATATTAAGTTCATGGAATACCCAATAATGTTAATGATACTTAAATAACTGTTAATGGAAATTTTTGATAAATGTATTGAATGTAGCACTGAAATGCCTGAAAGTAGGCTTCAAATTGTAAAATATAAATAAATTTGGTAAAAAACCTTAATGTAGGCTATAGAATTTTTAAAAGAGATATGTATTTTTTTGACAAGCGCTCTTTTTTCACAGTATATTTAGCGAATTATAATTAATTTTTAGCAGAAAAGGTTGCAGAAATAATTAATCGCTAATGATTGATAACTGTTCATATAACAAAATCAGTTAAGGATTAATTGGTTATCTTTTCTTTGATCTTGACAGCTTCAGACACAGAAATTCTATTATTAAAAATATAATTATTGTCAGTTATACTTCTTTAACAAACAATTTTAAACGTCTTTAATAGTTTTGCTGAACATGCAAACGTTTTTCATTATAAGTTGTTGACGTTCATAGTAAGCCAGTATCATTGATCCATGTAACATCGAAGTCAATAAAATATGAAGCCAGTCTGAATACTTGAAATTTTTATATTTATCGATAATTTAATATACATTTATGGTTTTTATATAAATTTTAAATGTTTTTTAAGGTAATCAGGACAGCCTAAAATTTGTTAAGTTTTTCTTAACTTTTTGTCAACTTAATCGGTTAATCGACTTTCCAACTTCGTTATATGAATTAGTAAATATTTCTCGAGTATTTATACATTTTTATTGATTTATTTTAACATATTAATCGACAAATTGTGCATGTTTATAGATTATTTGTAAAATTTTCTCGATTTTTTTTAATATATATATCGATTTAACCTTTATCGATTATTTTTACTTAATTATCGGTTAGTTGTGCATATTAATCTGTTATTGGTTATATTTATCGCTTATTTGCAGTAAAATATGAATTATTGCGTATACTTATTAAATTTTCTTTATACACTTATCGATTACATGCAGTTTTTAATTGTTCTAAACCCATTAAAAACTTTACAAATTCGTTGTTGTAACAAATTCGCGGATCTGTGCCATTAATAAGTTGTTATATCCGTAAATATATACTCGTATGAGGATTGAAAAATAGTAGTTTACCATCAATATGGTAATTTGTAATACATATCGATTTCGATTACACCAGAAAAGTCATTACCACCGTTAAGAACTTCGGTAAAAAAAGGGTTTAATTCGAATTATGTATGGCGCTGATTTCGATTTTTTATCGATAGCACCAAAACATTGATGATAAAATCGATTATTTCGTGTTAGTTATGAGTTAGTTTTACCGACTTTCGTAGTAATATATTGGATTCATATCGATTAACTAACTCCAGAGTGCGTTTGTCCATTTTTCGACAAGTCTTCACCACATTCGTGAAGTCGATTGTATCTAACTAATATGTATTGCTTACAACTTTTTTTTATCGAAGAAAATAACTTTTACTATGGTTATCGACTTTCAAGATAAAATCGAATATTTCTAGTTCATACTATATTTTATAAATCTTTTTATGATTTGGTTAGTGACAAATCGCTTATTTCGCCATTTCTCTTTTTTATCAACATAAATAATTGCTTATTCGTAGGCTCACTTAAATTCTTATATTTATTTATTTAAACGCTTGTAAATATTAAGTTTATTTTAAGTAGTGTTTTAAGCAAATTTATGCAAAATGATATTTAAAAATAATCATATAAATACGAGGTGTGTTCAAAGGAAAAGGTGAATTTTGAATTGTTTTGAAAAGTACTTATCATCAATATCTATTTTGTCTCCTCCAAAGTAATCCCCCTCGGATATAATACATTTGTGCCAACGCTTTTTCAAATCTTCGAAGCACTTATTCACTGCGCTTTTCGGAATGGTCATCAGCGCTTTCTTCGATTCTGACTTGAACTCATCAATTGTTCCAAAACGCTTTCCTTTCATTGGTTTCTCAAGTGTTGGGAAAAAGTCGCAAGGAACCAAAATGACCTGTTTGAGCAAACTCGTATCGTTGTTGACGACATTCAACAACTCCTAAGCGATACTAATCCGACATTGCTTTTGTTTAAAATTTAACAACTTCGGAACAAACTTCGCTGCCACACGTTTCATGCCCAAAACATTCGTGAAAATTGAATACCATGATCCGATTGATACTTCCCTAATAGTGATTCCACAATTTTCGAGAATAATTTTTTTCACTGTTTCGATGTTTTCTCGTTGACGTGTTCACACCACCAGACAGCTTCTCGACCTTTTGTAAAGCGTTCGTACCACTTATAAACACTTTTTTGAGACAAAGTGGACTCAGCGAATGCCACAGTCAACATTTCAAGTGCCTTGGAGCACATTATATGAATTTTAAGGCAAAAATTAATACATTTTCTTCTATCAATTTCTTTCAAAAGTCAAAAATCGAAGAACACACAAAAACGTGACTAAGTTTTCGGTTGTCAAAAACAAACTGCTAATCGAAATTGCCTTCTAATGCAAGCTCATGATAAACATATGTGTCCGATTATAACAAAAACAAAATATCGATAATTGAATGTAAACAGCTCGCGAAAAAATTCACCGTTTTCTTTGTACACATGTATATATTCATACTTAATATTAGATTAGTGTAAAAATACAGTTAGATTCAATTAGAATTTCTCACAAGAAAGTACAATTAAATGCCAGAAATTAATAGAAATAGAATTTCATGAGATTTCTGTGTGAATTTCTCATATATAATACTAACATACATACTTATAAACATAGTTACATACATATATACAAATATCTATGAAAAACTTTAGAAATAGTAGACGTAATTCGAAGTGCAAATTGTAGTGTGTAGAAAAATATTAACTTTCATTTGATGGTTAAACAATATCTGATACGCATATGCATACATACATAAGTAGACGTATATGTAAATATAGGTATTTATAAATATAGCATTATGCCTATTTGGATGTGCTTTCTATGTAAATGAGCTAATGTGTGTGTTAAATAAGCGTTACACATTAACCGCTTTTTCCTACTGTTATGTGCATGTATTTGTGCGTAAGTGTTTAAAACTGTAACTAAGTCTGAGTGTTTGCATTAAGTTTGGTTTTCAGATAAAAATGCCTACTACACACATGAAATTTGATTAAAAAATTATATATATATATAATATATATATATTATTTGTTTATGAGCTGTATGTATACATATATATATATATATATTGGTGGTAAATTGTTTGTTATGAAAATGTAAAAATTATTATAAAAAAGAGTTTTTAAAATTTCGAAAAAAACTTAACGAAATTCAAAGATAAAACTTAATTCTAGAAACAGTTGTAAAAAATTAATTATAAAAGCAGTAAATAAATGTTGGATGACAATTATGGACTTTGCATTATATAACTGTTGGGTTTGAGTGTCAAGTAAGTATAATAATTTTGTTTCTAATTTTGTTAACAAGAAAAAACGATTACCCTTTACAGATTCAAGTTTCCCTTACAAGAATTTTATTCATATACTTCAGTTTTTATGGCAGCTATATGCTATAGTGATTCGATTTGAATAATTTATTCGGAGATTGCACCACCAATAATCCATGCCCTATTTTTTGAAGATATGTCATTAAATCCAAAAAAACAAGTGATTGTTCCGATCGTTCAGTTTGTACGGCAACTATATGTTATAGTGGTTCGATATCGGCGGATTTCTACAAATGAGCAGCTGCTTGAGGAGAAAAATTTCAGTTCTATATCTCAAAAACTGAGGGAGTACTTTGCGAATATACGATTTGTCGATTCAAAGACGTTTTCAAGAATTGGGATCGTCTCAAACGACAACCTGGCGGATTTTGAGAAAATATTTAGACTTGCATCAGAATAAAATTGTTCTCACTCAAGAGCTGAAGCATTGGAACACCGAAAACGTGAAACTTGAAAAGAATAACGATTTTTTTAAGAAAACCATCTTCTCTTATCACTTTCATCTGAGATGACAGACGATTCTGGTGCGAATAAAATCCACAAATTATTCATGAACAACCATTACATTCACCTAAATTGATAGTTTGGTGTGGTTTTTGGTCTGGCGGAATCATCGGTCCTCCCTTCTTTCGAAACGAAGCAAGTGACACCGTTACTGTCAGTGGAGAGCGGTATAGATCGATGATATCCAACTTTTTGTTGCCGCAATTGGAAGAACTTCTTGACAACAACCATCTTGGTTCCAACAAGACGGGGCTACGTGCCATACAGCACGTGCCATAACCGAATTATTGCGTTTGGAGATTCGCCTCCAAGAAGTTGTGATTTAACACCATTAGACTACTGCTTGTGGGGTTATTTGAAGTCATTGGTCTTTAGCAATAAACCAGACTCTCTTCAAGCTTTAGAAGTCAATATTGAACGTGTTATTCATACCATACGACTTGATTTAGTAAAAAAAGTATTCGAAAAATGTTTTCATAGAATTCGTTTCTGCAAAATAAGTCGTGGTGGCCATTTGAATGTTGTTATATTCAAAACTTAATTGTATCGATTGTACTTCATATTAAATAGAAAAGATTTGAATTTCATTAACAATTAGTGTATTTAAAAAAAATCAGCTCTTTCTTATTGGACCCTTTATTTGCGATTAAATTTGCCATTGTCTACATATATGTAAAGTATGGCAACACTTTATATATATAATATATTTAGCTAAAAAATATGACTATTTTTCACATAAAGCATCTACCAATAGGACAACTCGTGGCGGCGATGTTTGTTTATGGATTCGTGTTAAATTTTATTAATATGTGCAGCAAGGTTTGCCATTTCATCGTAACTTTTCACTTTGGTACAACGCATGTTAAAAAAAAACAAATATTTTGACTAAATTTGAGTGTTTGCTTATATTTTAACATCAATTGTTCTTATTCTTGTTGGTAAACCTTTTATACAAGGTGTGTTCAAAATATAACAGAAATTTTAGTTTTCGGAAACAATCACATCGTATAATTTCCTAGAGGAACTCGATAGCTGTCAAAGTAAGCACATACATACATATGTGTGGCATTTACGCATTCCAGCATATTATGAAGCAATAAGAAACCAACACTATGTTGGAATGAATTTTTGGTGAGCGAATCACTTCAAGAAATAGGCTTAGGCGCCAAAAAAGGTGGTGTACAAGTAATAGACGTAGTCGTGCTGACCAAATGTCCGGAAAAATTTTCAAAAATGCCACTTATATCACCACTCTTTGAAAATTTACTGTGTATTTTTTTTTTAACTAAAAATTATATTATTGAAAGCTTAGTCCTATCCACTTACAAATAAGACTCTCCAAACTATTACCTGTATATTAGGTTAGGTTAGATTAGGTAAATAGGCTGATTTTTCGTGAGGCTACGAATAATTCCACTTAAATAGCTAGAGGCGCTGTTTTATTTTGATGCCCAGTACTACTGGGCATGAAACCAAAAGACCGTCGCATATCTATAAAGCGCATAGAGTCAGTCACAAAGCACATTAAGACTGACTACGAAATTAACCCTAGAAATATATACTTTACTTGTATGTTAGTAACCCAAAAATTGATATACAGGTGTATCAATTCGAAGCGTAACTAAATCATAAGTCTAGTTGTAGGCAAACATTTATTTCTCATAAATCATCTGTCCTACAATATCTCCACGTATCACATATATACTAACATAGGTTTTGTGAACGATATCAGATCCCACATAAAGAAAATTTATTTCAAAAATATTACGAAGTATTA